ACATAGTGAGAATCATTCTTATGATCAGGTCCTCAATGCATACTAATTTTCCAATTTTCAATCAGTATTCTCACCCAGGAAGACATTAAAAACATTACTCACCCATTTTCTGATAACACCTTCCCAAACTTTTCAAAATCATAGTCAGCCTAAGCAAATGAGGAAGCAGTATATGTTAATATAAATTGAACCATGCATTTTCATTGCATGGTTTCTACAGACATATTCATACCACACAGTGTACTAATGTTTGTGGTGTATCGCATGATATAACAGTAACTAGAGCTATCTCATCTCATCACCACAATTTAATCTATCTGTATATACTTTAGCCAGTACATGGTAAATTTACTGACCAATAGGGAATACAGAATACAACACACAGTGTAAACAAGATGACGCACATTAAGACGTACAGTGTATTAATGTCTGGTGTATCGCATGATATACCAGTAACTTGAGCTATCTCATCTCATCACCACAATTTAATCTATCTGTATATACTTTAGCCAGTACATGGTAAATTTACTGACCAATAGGGAATACAGAATACAACCTTTTTACCCACAAGATTTAAAAAAAAAAAAGACTTAAATTCTTGAGGGTTCATTGGTATATTTTGCATCTGTGCAGAACAGGAGAGATTGACCACCAAATGCAACTAAATATAGTAGTTCCTCTTTTCAAGGAGTATCGAATAAAATACTTGTCATCCTATTTACTATTTAAAATACAAACAAGGAGGGCATCAGCCATTCCACAAAGATGAAGTGTGCTGGTAATTTTACTCAAAAATATTGGGAGACATGAACTCCACCTTGAGGTAGGACAATGATGAGCTTATACATATCCTGCAAGTAGACTTGTCATTATAATAGAGCAACGTAGAAAGGCATATACAAAGTTGAACTGGCAAAAGTATTCCACAAGAAAGTGAATGGCCAAATATATTTCACATCTGTGCCACTCAGCAGAACCACTGTTTTTCTTCACACATGAGCATGCAGCCTTATAAGTATGTGTGTATACGCTTACCTTGTATCCGCACTCCATTAAAACTGTGCCTAGAGGAAACTGAGGTAGAATATCTTCTCGTTCATGAAATATATTTGCACACAGCAGCACAGTATGGTGATTCTGAATGCCTAGTAATGCGTATTTGGTCTGTAGTGATAAGCCGCCGACGTTGTCGCCGATGAGGAAATTAGATAATAACAGTAATTTACATAGTGAAGGTCCTACGCTGACAAAACTGAAAATAAATTTGTTATGTGTGTTTAAAATAGAAAAAAAAACACACTAGCAATATGAGTGCGAAGGAGACAAAGTGATGGTTGAATTAGGGAGATATCAGGTTGAAGATGTTTATCACCTGGGAAAAGGGTAGACTGGTGGAGATGTGGTCCAGGGATGTCTGGGAGTGTTGGTTTTCTAATAGAATAAATTGGAATACAATTGAGACTCATTCTTTGTGTGGTAGCAAATCATGACTACCGGTACTCAACACATTGCATGCATTCTAATTTTGTAT